TATTCCTGACACTATAGTGTTCCTTTAAGCCTTAAAAATTGACCTTTCATTAGGTGCAGAACTGGAAGTGACTCTGGGAAGCAGTTTCTCTTACTAGGAGCTGGTGTTTTGAGTAACTGCCTGGTGTGTTAGTATACACATATGTCAGGGTGTGAAAATGTCCAAAAAATATTGCCAAAACTTGCTGAGCTCCTAGGATGTGTCTAAGCTCCATGACAGTAAGGCTTCACCTTATTTATGAGGGCATAATAGTCTTTCAGCTTCAGCACAGTATGCAAACAATATATCAACAAGATGCAGGTTCCATAAGTGATGGTGCCAAATATTTTGTATGGTTCAAGAAAAGCAAACAGGTTGAATAACATATGTGGAGAATATATTAAATTACAAAGTGTAAGTCGTTCTACAAAACCACAGTAGAGTGTGTGGCGGGACCGCTGCCTGTTCGTGAATTACTATGAGATATTCCCCGTGTTCTCCCCTGTATTGTGTTGTATTCATGTATTTTACCTGCTCCCGGTTCGGGAGAGCTCAATGCAAACGGGTTCCATTCGCCTCCCGAACGGGGACCACCACAAAACCTCATTTAGAATGTTGTCTTAGAACGTTCACACCTCGTAATGAAGTGTCGAAACCACAAACCGCATGCAAAGCCTAGGCATGTGCCGACCCTGGGTGGCGGCCTGTTCGTTAGACGAGTGCCGCCTAGGGGGTGAATTATGGCATTGCTTCCCACCCCTTTTGGTTCCAGAACAGGGCCCTCCCAAGGGCCCGTTGGAGTGTTCACATCAATCAGTTAGAACGTTGGCGACTTGTAACATAAGTGTGAAACCGCAAGGGAAGTAATTAATGAGTGCTTCCCGGGATGGCCGCCATTCGTATGGACGAGCGGCAGCCAGGGAGAGCATTGGTGTCCCTAAAGGAGGCACTTCCCTCGCCTGGTTTTACCCAGGAACCCCATGAGCGGAGGCAGTTAACGTTCTGCGGGTCCCTGAGATTGGTGGAGACACTATTTTGGGGACAATGGCGGTTTGGCAGGCTTTCTGTGGCTGGGAGTCATTGAGGCGGGAAGCTTTCCCGCACTGGGACTCCCGGGTACGGAGACTCATGGGATGAAGACCCCCTGGTTACTGGAGGTAGGAAACCCTGAGGATGGGTGGCGGGAACAGGGGACAAAGGGACTGGAGTTTCGTTTCCGTCAGGAGACCCCTGGAAGGGGACACTGAGTGGCGGGAACAGGGGACAAAGGGATTGCGGTTCTGATTCCGTTATGCAACCCCGGGGATACTGTCGTTATATGTGATCCACCCCTTGCATGGAGAAAGTATAAAGCCTAGTGTAGCCAAAAAAAGTTGTTGTTGTACCCCAAGGACTGCGTGTCCAGTTACTGGGTGGGAAATGGGTCTCTCTGTACTATAACTGACTCCCTTCCTGGGACAAGACGTGGCAGAACAAGGACAACTGGGGGAGTTGTCAGCAGGCCAGCTACACAGTGCATCTGTGAGTGTTGTGTTCAGCTGTAGTCAAAATGCTGTGAAAAAAGCTCTATAACCATGAGCTTAGGTCTTAGTAATCTGCTCATATTGTGGTGACAGTGCTCTAGCCTGTGCAAGTGGCTTGGTAGGAGTGCGAGAGAATGCCTGAAGTGGACATAATAATCAGTAGAGAGGAGATGTTATATAAGTAGAGATCTAGCAAGAGGTGTGTAACATTAAGTTTGTGATTGGCAATGAAAGCCATTAATTCAGGTATGTAGCTTCGACAGTGAAGCGATTTACCCCTTTCTGTAGCTAGGAGAAGTGTTACCTGAGTGCAAACTAGTGTTGTATTTGAAAAATTATGTGAATGTTGAATATTATGAGAATTAAAAAGCTAAAAGAAAATAATTTTTTTTGAATGCATAGCTAACAAAAATAATACTAGAGGTAAACATTGATACATCTGGAACCTCCTGGTTTGGTTCACATGCGAGTGTCCTAGCTCTTCAGGTGGCTGTTGGGAGACTGCCTGTGCTCCATGGTCTAGAGGAGGTTCATGGAACTGTAGCAGATCCAGCTGGTTGGAACAGTTTTAGTTTGGACATGTCCTAGGTATGTGAGGTCATCTGGCACCGGATAGGGGTCCCTGGTTCAGAGTTGGGTGGCAGTCCCAGTGCCAGAAGCATAGAGTCCGTTTATGTGGATAGTTTTGCCTCCATGTGAGATGACCAGGTTTCTGGGAAATACCCAGCGATATGGGACAGAGTGTTGGTGGAGTGTGCTGGTCAGTGGTCTGAACAGGCTTCGCCATATCAAGGTGGGCCTGTACAGATCTTGGTAGAATGTTAAGTTGGCATTTTGAAAAGAGTAGGAGGGTTGTCCCCTTACTGCTGACATGAAGATTAGTTGTGCTGACCTTGTTTGAGGTTTTATGTTATGTAAACAAGCGCTGCATCTTTCATGACTCGGGCTAACAAGGCATTTTGCCACCCCCTAAAAAGTGCCGCCCAAGGCAAATGCCTTGTTAACCTCATGATCCAGCCATGCGACCATAGTTGTAGAGTGGTATGCATCAACATTCTGTTCCTCAGCATCTTTTCCTGACCACCCCTCATGCAAAAGTAACATTGCAGAGCACTATACTACTGATCTTAAATTTTTGCATGCTTCCCAAAAGAGGCTATAAGTAATAAAATCAAAACAATAAAAATAAAAACACTAATATTCACCTGAACTTTCATTACTTGTAGAGATCCGGGGTAAAAGAGTCCTACATCTGGGCTTTAGTGCCCAAAGCCCCCCAACAACGTCTATGAGTAGCAATATAACTGGATACACTCTCCCACGGTCAAGTGGTCAAAGGAGATAGAGGAATTCTCATTGAATGTAAATCAAAAATAGCATTGAACAAGAACATGTATTAATGCCAGTAGTTAACCGATCAGAGTTACTCGATCTCAACGATTTACTGTGTTTAGATAGCTATCACAACAGTTTAGGGGGAAATTAATAAATTCGATATAACAGGGCTGGTAATTAGGAATAAAGGCCCTTTCTCTTTAATGGGTGGCAGTATTTTTTGGTAAAATCAAAAACAAAAAAAAATCATTTCATTTAATGGTTTCTCTGTAGATGCCCAAGTGGATTTGCGTTCACTGAACATCATGGATTCGCTGCAATACCCATAACAATAAACACTTCAATATTGTCTACTACTCTAGACAAAAGGACAGTTCTAGTTCTGCTTTAAAGTCATATTTACAGCTTTGTAAGGAACATGTAGGCGTTGATGGTTAGAGGTTTTACTTTCTCTCTTAGTTGGGAACATTTCACAGATCAAAAGTATTAAAGTTTTGTTTAAACAATAACATACTTTCAAGAGTTGTATATTCACTACATTGAATAAATTATTGATTGCTATTTATGGGGCAAATTAATTGCTCTATGCATTTAACCCCTTAGTGACTAGACTGTTTTTTAATTTTCTTACATTTAAGGACCAGGGCTGCTTCTACATTTCTGCAGTGTTTGTGTTTAGCTGTAATTTTCCTCTTACTCATTTACTGTACCCACACATATAACGTTTTTCTCTCCATTAAATGGTCTTTCTAAAAATACCATTATTTTCATCATATAATTTACTATAAAAACATTATAAAATATGATGTAAAATCTTTGAAAAAACACACTTTAGGGGCGTGGCCAAGACTCCGACGAGACTGGCAGCACAGTAACGGAGCTCCGTGCCGGACAGGAGAAAACAAGCAGCCCCCCGGTCGTACAAGTAGCAATGGAGACAAAAAAATCGCGTAACACAGCGGGGAGTACCCCATCGACCGACATCCCGCCGGCAAAGTCCTCTCTGAGGTTCTTTGCTGAACAAACGGAGGCACACCAGACATCCAAAATGGCGCCTGCAGCCCTCACACGCGGCAGCCAGCCTCCCAGCCCAGCTCCATCAGAGGGCTCAGGGGACGAATCCGACATCAGGGCGCTACTCACACGACTGCCCTCGAAGAAAGACCTCACAGATATGTTCCAGAAACTGGAACACTCCTTTGGCGAGAAACTGCAGGCAATTACAACTGATGTACAGCACCTAGGCGCCAGAGTACAGAGTCTGGAGGATGCAGAGGAAACACATGATCGCTTATGGACGGAATCTCAAGCCATACAAACCCGGCATACAGATGCTATAGCCTACCTCCAAAGAAAATTGGACGATCTAGACAACAGGGGAAGGCGGAACAACCTGAGGGTGAGGAGAATCCCAGAGGGCCCGGAAGACGCCACCGAAAACCCCATCAAGGTACTGACTGCCCTCTTTAATCAGGTCCTCAATAGACCAACTGATACAGCAATACAATTCGACAGGGCCCACAGGGCAGCACGGCCCAGAAACTTACCAAAGGACATGCCCCGCGACCTTATATGCCGCATCCACAACTTCCCTCTGAAAGAGGAAATATTCCATAAGGCTAGACAAAATAAGGCCTTAAAATACGAGGGACACCCAGTGGCGGTTTTTCAAGACCTCTCACCGGCCACATTACAAGCCAGACGGGCTCTTAAGCCGATTACATCAGCCCTACTTGAAAAGCAGATCAAATTTCGATGGTCCTTGCCATTCGCCCTAACAGTATCCACCAACAGCGAAACCCACACTATATCTACGCCGACGGACGTCCCTGATTTTCAGCAGGCACTGGGGCTACCCCAAGTCGCAATCGAAGATTGGACAGGTCTCTCCAACTGCAAACCCGCACCGCTCCAGCAAAGACCCACATGGCAGAGAACACCAAGAAAGCGGAGGAGGCAACCTCAGGCTAGGACCGAGACCCAGGGCCGGCCTTAGGGGTGTGCGAGCTGTGCGACCGCACAGGGCGCCATGGAACAGGGGGCACCCTGTGGCCGACACAGCTCACTCATGGCCGGAGTGCAGGGGAGCTAAAAGAGGTACCTGGCTGGAGGATTAATTGTTCTCCACCCGGGTCTATTTATAAAAAATAAAATAAAAAAAAATCGCGGCAGAGGGGGCGGGGTTTACCGAGCGGCAGAGGCGGGGCTTATCGAGAGGCGGAGACGGGGCTAATACCTCCCGAAGCCCCTGCTGTACAGGAAGAGGGAAAGATGCTTCCCCATCAGCCAACTGCATCCACTGGAAAGAGGTAAGTGTGTGTGTGTGACTGTTTGCCTGTTTGTGTGACTGTCTGTCTGTGTGTGTGTGTGACTGTCTGTCTCTGTGACTGCCTGCCTGTGTGCGTGTGACTGTCTGTGTGTGTGTGTGTGTGTGTGTGACTGTCTGTGTGACTGCCTGTCCTTGTGTGTGTGTGTGTGTGTGTGACTGTCTCTGTGTGTGACTGCCTGCCTGTGTGTGACTGACTGTGTGTGTGACTGTCTGTCTGTGTGACTGCCCATGTATGTGACTGCCTGTGTGTGTGACTGTCTGTCTGTGTGACTGTCTGTCTGTGTGACTGCCCGTGTGTGTGACTGCCTGTGTGTGTGAGACTGTCTGTCTGTGTGACTGTCTGTGTGTGTGACTGTCTGTCTGTGTGTGTGACTGCCTGTGTGTGTGACTGCCTGTATGTGACTGCCTGCCTGCCTGTGTGTGTCTGTCTGTAACTATCTGTCTGTGTGTGACTGCCTGCCTGTGTGTGTGACTTTCTATCTGTGTGACTGCCTGCCTGTGTGTGTATAACTGTCTATGTGTGTGTTACTGTGTGTCTGTCTGTGTGTGTGACTGCCTATGTGACTGTCTGTCTGTGTGTGTCGCTGTAGCTGTGCCATTGTTTGTGCCTGTGCCTGTATGTGTGACTGCCTTTAACTGAGTGTGTGTGTACATGCCTGTAACCGAGTTTAAATTTCCCCCACCCCTTCCTGTCAAGGCCGCACTTTGACTGACAGACGCTCACTCACTGACAGACGCACACTCACTGACGACACATACACACTCACGACACATACACACTCACTGACTGACACATACACACTCACTGACTGACACATATACACTCACTGACCAACACACACATTCACTGACACACACACATTCACTTACAGACACACACACATTCACTTACAGACACACACAATTACACACTTACAGACACACACACACACACACACACATTCACTTCAAAATAAACACTCACAGACACACACACAGACATTTCCACTAACACTCACAAACTAATATTTTTTACATTTATTTTAAATCCACCCAGCCTCCCTGGGAAAGCTGGAGTGGATTTCTTACCAGCAGTCCAGTGTGGCTGCTGGGCAGGCAGGCAGGGGGCGCACAGGCTGAGTAAGCAGCGCTTAGTGATGCCGGGAGCCGGACTGACGTCATATTCTGGCTCCCGGCTTCATTAAGCGGCGCAGAGGAAGCTGAGCAGGAAGAGCTCAGGTGAGTATGCTCCTTCGCTGCCCGCTGCCAGCCTTGGGGGGGCTCAAAAGTGGCCAGCCGGTCAGCTCTTGAGCCCCCAGGATGCGAGGCAAGCAAGGGATCTGCCTGGGGGTTTGGAGGGATGCTTTTTTTTGCCGCCCCCTGCAAAGTGGCGCCCAAGACAGATGCCTTGTTTGCCTCGTGATACACACGTCCCCGGTGCCTGTGTGTGTTACTGTATTCAGGCAACTTGGTGGGAGGTGGGGGGGGGCGCCGTGAAGACTTTTTGCACAGGGCGCCTAATTGCCTAAGGCCGGCCCTGCCGAGACCCCTAGCAAGACCAGAGGCGATGAAGCCTGATGACGGCTGTGGACGCTCTTAGATATCCTTTGCTCTAATCTCTCAAATACTAAAACTGTTTATGGCTTATCTTGTTTTACATACTAATGTTACGGTTAGATATAATTCTCTATAATATCAATGCCGCCAATGACTTTCAATGATTTATACTACACTGACCACTAGGGCCCCATGACCCAAATGCATATACATATGTCACATTAGGGGGCCCCGGGGGAGCCCGGAACCGGGTACATTTCAAGGGACATTGACACTGGCCCCGCATGGGGAACATGATGTGATCTCATTGAGTCCCAGAAATCCACTCCTTCCTCCTAACCAGGACCTGTCCAGACAGACAGAACTCCACCTCCCCACAGAGAAGCGCTTAAACACTAACTTGGGGACATGACTTAGTCTCCCACAAGTACAGCGCCACCTCTTTGTAAATATGTTTATTTTTTCTTGCTTCTGTGTATATAGTTTCTGTTCCCCCACACTCACCCCATACCCCCCTACTGTCGCACGCCCGGCCATGTGGGCCCAATTCCGTATAAAACGGCACAAACGACTGCCTCACTATGATGGCGCAAATTAAGCTAATGTCCGTTAATGTGAGGGGCCTTAACACCCCGGAAAAATGCAGCATGCAAGAGATTGACAGACAGAGGGCAGACATCACATTCATTCAGGAAACGCACTTCAGGGGAGAAGCTCAACCTAGAATCAGAGCTAAACACCTCCAACAATCCTACCACAGCAACTATGGGAAAAGCAAATCTAGAGGGGTAGCGATTTTAGTAAACGCACGGGCGGCCCTCACAGACACCACTGTGAAGGCAGATCCAGGAGGGAGATTCCTGTTTGTCAAAGGGAAATGTCTAGGCACGCAGATCACACTGGCCAATATATATGCACCAAATACAGAACAGGGCTCATTCGCCCGATCCTGCTTAAACAAACTAGAGGCCTTCGCAGAAGGAATGGTGATTGTAGGGGGGGACTGGAACATGGTATTAGATCACTCGATAGACAGCTCCACCCACGCCTCGGACAAAAGGCGACACCAGCGCACACTATTGCGAACGCGCTATTTGCCCATCAACTGATGGACTGCTGGCGTATAGCACACCCACAAGACAGGGACTACACCTACTACTCACAAACCGCTCGCAGCTACTCTAGAATTGACATGTTCCACCTAAGTCATAGGTACCTCCCAGCACTTAAAGAAGCAAGCATTGACAATATCACATGGTCGGACCATGCCCCGATTTTTCTAACTCTCATATTACTTAAAGCTCCTACACAAAGCCCACAATGGCGTCTCAATGAGACCCTCCTAGATGACTCGAGAGTAATAGAGGACATACGGACGACACTCCGCCATTACTTCTTAGAAAACTCTACTACAGACGTAACCGACGCTTGGGTGTGGGAGGCACACAAAGGGGTGATTAGGGGTATCTTGATTAAATGGGGTTCTAGGATCAAGAAGGAACGAACACAAAAGCAGACAGCCCTGACACTAGCCATACAGGTACAAGAAACACTGCACAAACAGACCCCCACGCCGGAGATCTTCCACACACTAACAGGTCTCCGAATGGAACTTCGATCCCTCCTATCCCTCAAAGCACATAGGGCCGTCCAGTTAACGAGAGGCTCTTTCTATGCGCAAGGGAATAAAAGTGGGAAACTATTAGCACGAGCACTGAAGACTAAGCTCCAAAAATCTTTTATAACTCACATCAAAAACAGCCAGGGGAAACAATGTAACACCACTGACGAAATAGCAGACGCATTTAGCAATTTCTATCACGATCTTTATAACCTTACACCCCCCATAGGCACCCCCTTAGACTTACATGACTATTTAAGGGCCAATATACCACACAAGGTCCGAAGCTTCCCAGGCTCTTGAGGAGCCCTTCACCCATAAGGAACTCTCTGAAGCGATCAAAACAATGCCGAAAGGAAAGAGCCCTGGCCCAGACGGCCTAACAGCTAGATATTATCAGACACTGATAGATGACCTGGGACTACACTTTCTTAAGATGATCAACGGGTTAGAACCGGGTGCCTCTCTCCCTGCCCCGATGCTACGCGCATCTATCACCATCATTCCCAAACCTGGGAAGAACCCGGAAGCTTGCGGCAGCTACAGACCCATCTCCCTTATTAACCTAGACCTTAAACTTATAGCCAAACTGATAGCTAACCGTATTAAACCATTATTGCCGGAATTGATACACCCCGACCAAGCAGGTTTTGTGCCGGGAAGGGAAGCCAGGGATAACACCTCTAGAATAATAAGTATCATACATGGAGCCAATACCAATCACATCCCCACAATACTACTGGGCATAGACGCTGAAAAAGCTTTTGATAGGGTAGACTGGAAGTACCTATTTGGAGTATTGGAAAATCTAGGTCTAGGCCCCAAATTAAGGAACTGGATACACGCACTATACATAGGTCCGACTGCCACTGTACGGGTCAATGGGCAACACTCCACGCCCTTCCAAATAGGAAACGGCACCCGCCAAGGATGCCCGCTATCCCCTCACCTGTTCGTCTTGGCGATAGAACCTTTTCTGACAGCTATCAGGAACAACCCCCAAATTAAGGGACACAGCTATCCAGGGGGAGAGGTGAAGGTCTCTGCATTCGCAGACGACGTGCTCTTCTCGGTCACAGACCCGCTCCACACACTGACACAGGTACAAATAGAAATAAACAAATTTGGCACACTATCGAATTTCAAAATCAACACAGAAAAATGCGAGATACTAGGACTCTCCATACCATCGACCTTACAGGCCCAGATCAGGGAATCCCATACCTTCGCCTGGGCTCAGAAAAGCTTGACATACCTAGGTATTCGCCTCACCCCGTCACTCAAGGACCTGTACATTCAGAACTTCCCGACACTCATAGACACTATAGCCCAAGACCTCAAAAAATGTGACTCACCCCAATTTTCATTAATGGGTCGGGTCAATATAATAAAAATGATGACTCTACCGAAAGTACTATACCTGTTTCAGACCCTCCCGATCCCTCTACCGGGAGAATTCTTCCGACGCTTGAGATCCATACTCGTAAAATTCACATGGGGAAACAAACCTGCGAGGCTGGCATACTTGACAATAACAGCGCCACCGGGGAGGGGGGGTTAGGCTTACCTCACCTATACAAATACTACGTAGCAGTTCTCCTCACACGAGTCAGGGACTGGAATAAGGTTGATACGCCAAAAGCCTGTACAAACTTGAACAGAGCTTTGCGACGGTCCCTCTCCACACGCTCCCTTGGCAGACATGCCAACTCACAACACTTACCCCAACACACCACCCCCTCATCCATAACACACTCCGGACATGGAGGAGACATAGAGAGGACTGGGGACTATCCCCCGGTATGTCCCAGTTTTTCCCTCTGGCCAACAACCCAGACTTCCAAAACGGACAGGGAAGCACTACTCTAACTCGGGTCACTGGAGAGGCCTGCCCAGAAGTAGCGACGGTCTTGACAGGAGACGACCCTCCTAAAATAAAGACCTTCCTCACACTGGGTAACAGAGGAACATTACTAGACATTATGGCCAAAGCCCAGCTA